TTTAGTAAGAGTTATATAAAAAAATTATTAAAAATCCTTTATAAAAGATACATATTTAAAAACCCAATCGCGCTATGTTATACAAAACGTTTTCGGAATCCATATTCCATCACAAGTGTCTAGATATAAATGAATTGTCACCGCGGGGTAAATGGAAAGGGTCTAAATCACCTTCTGTACCACCGTGTGCTCTGTAGAGGGCTTCGAGAATGTCTACGAAAGCACCTCTACCAAGTCCACTTTCAGGTTATGGACTTGTGAAAGTTGTCTTCTGATGGACCCGTCTTGAAAAAGACGGGTTATTTCTTACATGACGAAAAAATTCGACGAAATAAACCATCAGGTTTTCTTCTTTCGGCGACTTATTCGTTATTTCTTACATAACCAAAATAGGTCGAAATAAAACACCAAAATTCACGTTGAATAATAACTCAGCCACAGAGTAGGGAAAGGCTAAAAGAAAGCAGAGCCCCGAGAGCACTAAGCTCTCGGAGAGCCCGTGAAGGACTGAACTGATTGACCTGAAAATCGCCTAATTTTATACTTTCTGACGTAGCGATTAGGGATTTCCAGGTCAGGGAGGGGCCAACGGGAAAAATAAGGAACGGGGTGATGCGTCTCAAACGTGAACTAGTCGCGTCCGAGACGCCACCAAAAAAATTAACAAAAACCCCTAAACCCGGGCACGTAGGGCCCAACCCCCTTGAGCACCAAGTCGCCGAACTGAGCCGGGACTCAGAGCGGAGACTTGAGGCCCAAGTAAGCAATTTTAGTTCGCGGATAAGCTACATTAAGATAAACAGGAATAAAGACGAGATGCGCTGTCCTGAGTTTTCACATACGGTTAGGAAACCATGTTGGGGTTCTATTACCCAGGACCTCCACATGAAGAGCACTTGGCTGATTGTTGTGCCTCTATAGCGAATCAGATTGCTATAGGGGGGAAAGGGATGGTCTAGAGCATTGGAGCACGGTGGGGTGATTCCTGTTTTTAAACTCGAATTAAAACACCTTGCTCCAATGAATTGTTACACCCGATCGTACTACCTGGGTGAACATTTCTCATAGGCTGGGTTCAATCAAATTGCTTGCTTGCTCGCGTCCGAGAACAGAATGTAGCCACTAAATATGTGGGTAAAAACCTGTTAAACATTGTTTGTTTACATTTAGTTTACATTATTTGTTATTTAATATTAGGATGTTAAAGTTATCGAGTTGCTTTCATAAAGTCTTCGTAGACACACCGTCTCAGGACTAGCAGCTTCACGTGGAGTCATATGTCGCCATGTTACCAAATATAACGGTAACTTTAACATCCTATTAATAAATAACAAATAATGTAAACTCATTATCACCATCATCACCCAGCCCTTTGCGTCCACTGCTGGACATAGGCCTCCCTCATTTTTGTCCATTGTGCTCTGTCTTGACCACTTTTCATCCAATTTCTTAACATGTTCTTGAGATCGTCAGTCCATCGTGTAGGGAGTCTTCCTCTACTTCTTTTGTATAATCTCGGCCTCCACTTAAGCAATCTCTTCGTCGACCTTTCATCACTGATTCGAGTGACGTCTCCGGCCCTGTTCCATTTTAGTGTGGCAATTAGGGAAATTACATCGGTAACTCCTGTTCTTCGTCTTCTTCTTCTTACGGTGCCTATCCGTTCCGGATGTTGGCGATACACATGGCTATCCTAACTTTGCTTTCTGCTATTCTAAATAGTCCGGTTGTCCATGTATTAAACCACTTTCTCATGTTTTGAAGCCAAGATATTCTTCTTCTCCCTGGTCCTCTCTTTCCAAATATCTTGCCCTGAAGAATGAGTTGCAACAAGCCGTATCCCTGTTCATTCCTCATAATATGGCCAAGACATTCTAGTTTGCGCTCTTTGATGGTGTTAATAATCTCGCATTCCTTGCCTATTCTACGTAGAACCTCAACATTAGTCACACGATCCACCCATGAAATTCTTAAGATACGTCTGTAACACCACATCTCGAATGCCTCCAGTTTTCTTAAAGAAGCTTCGGAAAGTGTCCATGCCCCTACTCCGTATAATAACGTAGAAAATACATAGCATCTAATGAGAGAGATTTTGGTAGCAAGTGGTAAATCGTGACTTCTGAAAAGAGACTTCATTATTATGAACGCTGATCTCGCTTTTCCTATGCGTTATTTTATTTCACTGGAGTGATCCCATTTGCTGTTAATGTTGGTACCAAGGTATGTGTAGCTGTCCACTCTGTCAATTGAATGTTGGTTAACCAAAAGCTGTGTATTTAATATTTCGCGCTTACTGACTACCATGCACTTTGTTTTCTTCGTATTAAGATCAAGTCCTTGTTCTCTATTAAAATCTAATATACGCAATATTATTCTTTGCAAACCGTCCAGACTATCGGCAAAAACTACTCCGTCATCGGCATATCTTATGTTGTTTAGACGCATTCTGTTGACTAATACGCCTTCTTGTAGTTCTCCCAGCGCTTGCTCGAAGATATATTCAGAGTATATATTAAATATCACCGGGGACAGAATGCATACTTTCCTCACTCCTCTATCTATGAAGACTACATCTGTCAATTGGTCATCCACTTTAATATTGGCTGTTTGGTAGTAATATAAATTATAGATGGTTCTCAAGTCCTTATCATCTAACCCCACTTCTTTCAAGATGTTTATAAGTTTATCATGTTTTACTCTATCAAATGCATTTTTGTAGTCAATAAAACAAATATACACATTACAGTAAACATCCCTGCATCTTTGCATAAGCACTTGGACAGCAAATAGGGCCTCTCGGGTGCCTAAGGAATCGCGGTATCCAAATTGCGTCTATATAATATTCCGAATCCCAACGGCATCTCAATTTGTTTATGGATTTTTTAAACTTTACATTTTCAAACATCATCTCTTTATATATTTCTTGCAACATGGATTTTTTAGGGTTTAAATGAATGCTTATGTAATACACACAACATTTAAGAATGACGGATGTATGTGGATCTTCAGCGAAACTCTGCATTGAATCTCTGCATCGTCTTCCCACTGGTCCTCTTCGGTCGAAAATTTTTCTGATCGTTGCATCTTCATCTCACCTAATTACATGTCTTATCCATCGAAGGTGTACTACTTTAATACATTTTACAACGTCAGGTTCCCCAAAACTTCTGTATAAATAAAAGTTGTAGCACCTACGCCACAAACCCTGTTCTTGGACACCTCCATATATTTTCCTCAGAATTTTTCTCTCGAAGCGTTTAAGCAGTTCTTGGTTGTTCTGTGTAAGTGACCACGTTTCTAACCCGTATGTAAACACTGGACTTATTTGTGTTTTATATATGGTAATTTTAATTTTTCTGGGTAGTTTTGGGGCCATCTGTTTCCTCAAGCCATAATAGCACTTATTGGCAAGCACTATTCTTCTCGTCAGCTCTAGTTGTTAATATAATTTACTTTAAATAACTGTTCAATAAACGTAAAGCCGTTGTTAGTTTTATGAATTAGTGTAAAAATTACAGCATTCTATATTTACTGAATTACCTACTTTAAAACTATTTGGCACTGAGAAGTTTTATTTATTTAAGATCTTCGTGACTAGATAAAATACCAAGTGTTATATACGGTTAAACTCATATGGGAATGAGGAGTCCAATAATAATACAATATACAGAGTTGTATTTAAAAAATCAAAGTAATTGACATCAGAATGATATCAGAAAAATAGTAAATCTGGCAACTTTGCAAGCAATTTGAAAACTCCATACTACAGAGTAAGCATATCTCCGTTTTTTATACAATTCGGCACTGTAGGTATATATAAATCTAAAAGCTAAAAGATATATAATCATGACATCCATTTATAATGTACGTAACTAAATAGAAACGTTAATTAAAAGATAAATAATAGAAATAAAAGTGCTAAATAGCAAATTGTATGAAGCAATAGGCGAATTTTACATCCCCGATAAACTAATAAAGACTGGTAATAGCTAAAGTGCGTAAAGATGTTTGCAATATAGAACTACAGAGTGAACAATCACAGGTGTTTAAAATACATATCGGACTGTGACAAAGAGACACACTGATGTGCCTTTTTCGTCATAGTTCTTAAAAATGACGTTTCGAGAGGCCAAAATAGCCAGGAGAAATACCTTAAATATTTCATCACAAATTATGACCTACGCAGATGATCTGCTATGATGATGAGCTAGAGCTACTTGCCGGTTTAACATACAATCTAGAAGGAATTTATAGATAAGTAACACTTTTTCAAAAACCTCAAAAAATATGGGCCTGCAGATAAATAAGAAAAAAGTCAAAAGGAAAAACACAACTACGATGAGTCAACAACGAACAACGGAGCCATAAACATCAGTCATTAATTCAGTGGTATAACTTTAACTTTGAGGAAGTGGACAAATTAACATATTTAGGTTACATGATAGCCAATGAGAAATTAATTACGGAAGAAATGAAACGAAGAATAATTTTAACAAAAAATGCAATTTTTGAAATGAGTTTTCAAATAAAAAAGAGAAACTTAAGCCAGAAAACAAAAACGACTGATAAATCTCAATATATGATCAAAAACGTAGAGCTCCAACGCAGGTGAAAAAAGAAAAAGAAAAATCCTTAGAGGAATATTTTGTGGTATCTGTAAAAACGGTATTTGCTAAATTTGCAACAAAAAAGATCTAAACAGCTCTATTTGGATTGATGAATCGTTATGTCAAAATCTGGGGAAAGGAGACGGAGGGGTAGACCAAATCTTGGATTAATGGAAGTATGGTGTAAACAAACATGGTAGAAAAATAGGTGCAGCAAACTAACAACATTTGGTAATGGATAGGGCTAACTGGCTCTAGCAATTGATAGACTTAAACGTAAATATACTTAGAAAGGTCGAAGCTCTATTATGGGTTGTAGCACAATTATTATGATGAAAATGAATCGAAACACTAAATATTTATTTATTTATGACTGATTAATTTTTCCAGGCCGTATTAGCTTGCTCTTTGGCAGTAGCCACAGCTGTCTGGAATGGTCCCTTAGCCGGTGGCCAGCCAGCACATCTCTACCCCGCAGGAGTCAGTCCACAAGCGTGCCCAAACTTCCCCAACTGTGCTAACCCCGCCGTAGCTGCCAACCCACAAGCCCCAACTGCTCAACAATGGGGAGCTCCTCAACCACAATGGAATGCCCAACCTCAACCACAATGGAATGCCCAACCTCAACCACAGTGGAACCAATGGAACCAAGTGAGTTATTTTTTTAAACATCTTTTAAATTATTTTATACTATTAATTTATAATTTCATAGAATTCCATAATTTTAATTTTGAATTCCTTTATTACAAAAGTCTTCTTTTAACTTCTACTGCCACATTCTCCTATAATCATTTTTTTACATTCTTAAGGTCATTCCATCATTTCGTCATAGTCGTAGTACGTTATGTACTTTTAGTTTTAATTACTAAAATATTGTGATATATAAAGGTGTATTTCATAGTCTGATATAGTGTTCGTCATCTAGAAAGCAATTGAAATCGATCATGGCACGATACTCTGTAATGAGTATCAGCCATCAACCATCTTTTTACCTACATTTGAAAATACTAAAGACACGCGGTATTGGTTCGTCCTAACTGGTAATTAGTATACCCATTATTTTAACTATTATGGTATATTTTTTTGTCATATATTACTAATTATTCGATAGCGAATATGGTAGCCAACATGATATCCAACGATCGATAACGGTCATGGAACTAGAAGAAGATATTACTAATTAGTGCCTCTAGAACTTCATTTTAAATTGACAGTAATTTACTTTTCAAACATTCAAATTCCAGTAAAAGTCTTAATGCTTTCTTCGATTATTTTCATTATTTTGTATGTTTCAATTGTTTACTTGACTTATATATTATATCTTACTTTATAGATTTCTTTTAAAGATTTAGGCTTTGGATTTAATTTGATATAACAATTTAAATTAACGTTTCAGGGACAATACAACCCAGCTCCAGTTCCACAACAATGGGGAAACGATGCTACATCTAGACTTAACAAAGGAGAATACATTGGTGATGGAGATTACCACGGTGAAGGTCTTGTTGAAGCTCGTGCTCCAGGTTACGGTTAGTATTGAGGTTTAATATTTAAAGGAATAATGCATGTTTATTTTCTACTAGAGATATTTATATTTTACCTTTGTTTGAATTACCTGACAAATAAACTGTTCTCCATATCTTCTTGGAATTAAACCACGAAATATAAACTAAACACTATTCAATTAACATTTTAACTTCTCAATTTATTGTTCAAAGTATTAGTTTCTTGGACATTTAATAGAAACTATTAAACTTACGACCAGATAACTCAAATAGTAGAGTGTTCGACTACCGCTCGGAAGGACCAAGTTTGATATCTGGCACCGATGAACACATTGAGTTATTTTTTTAATATCTAAAGGCCTCAAGACGACTCATCACGACTAAAATGAAAAACTGGGTAAACCAGTAAACATAATAAGCAGGTAAAACCTAGCACCGGCTATGTTTTTCTTGCTGTACATTGTACGTCCAAGAAATGGCAGATTATCCTACTCTACTCATCTGCTGCTCTAGCGGTTTTAAAAGATACTATTGTCATAAACAATTAAAAAACAAACTCGCTTTTTTTAAATATTTTTAAATAAATTCCTATAGGCAAGTATAAACATAAAAGTAAAAGGTTTGTTTTATAATTAGTAGTTTATTTCCAAGAAAAATTCTGTAAAATTCTAAACTAATATCTTGTCATCTATTTGAAATTTACTCAAATGTAAAACTCCATCTATCTTAGCTCTTCGTCGTATTCCTTTGACAGGTGCCAACAAATTTATAGGGCAAAGAAGAGCAAATCACTCATCCTTTTTTTTCCTGATCTTTTCCCTTTTCAGGAGTCGTTGTTCCTTACTTTTCGTCATCACCCATTTCTGTCCATCAACTAACCTTAAGTCATTGATCTTCATTAGCCCTTCTCGATTCACGATTCACAGTATCCAGTCTTCAGTCTTTATATTTCATTCCACTTTAAGATCAATCGCACTATTTGCTTCATTTTTTATTCCCATCCCCAAACCTCCATGAACTCTTTCTAGTCCCGTTCTTTCTTTACCGATATATCCATTTAATAAAATCACCTCCAATAAAACACTTTTTGTCTACAGGAGTCTCGAGCAGCTCGCAATCAAGGGCCCTCCAAAGTTCTTAATTTCTTTGTTACTCACATCCTACCTATAAGAAGTAGGCTCATTGACGATGGTATTGACTGTATTCAGTTGGACACTCAATATTTTATCACTTCTTCTGGTTGCCTTTTTATTTATATAATACCTACCCTATTTCTGCCGTGGCTATTTGAACTACTATTTATTAATTTGCTTCCATCTCCAAGACATCTCGACTTATTACCTTTCCAACAAGTTTTCTGCATACAAAGTACACTAATCCTTCTCTTTTGCATAAAATCGGCGAGCTCTCTTCCTTTACCTGTCATGCTTCCAGCGTTGAGTGTTCTAACTCTCAGAACTTGTTTCTTCTGATATCATTCGTCATTAAATGTTCTTCTTCCTTATGAGGAGTCTTTATCATTGGAGGTTAGCAATTATGGTGGCAAAGATTTCTTCATCTTCAGGAAGTATTTGTTGCTATCAAATTAAATTGTTGGAAGAACTCTAACAGTTTTTCTCCCTCTTTCATTTTTGGAACTTGTCTCTTTCTATTTTAGTATTGAAGTATCCTTTGGTAATTTTATAAGTTTTTGTAGATCTTTATACCATTACTAAAGTATTTCATCTGGTTTATCTGTAGTTGGTGCATAAACCTGAATAATATTAACATTAAATGGAGAACTCTTTATTTGGAGCAGCATTGCTTTGTCGGAGAGTGGTAAAAAATTTGAAACTACGTGACTCAATTCATCGTTTATTATCATCATTCATCATTATTATTATCGTTTAATTTTTGTTTTTTATTAGTTAGGCCATCGTACCTTACTCAAACTCAGAATATATATTTAGTCTGTTCATTTCTTGGCACACATTTGCTAGCTTTCCAGCTTCATACCGGCTTTTAATGTTTCAAGTTGCTGTCTTGACATTATTGTTTGCTTTAATTTTGTTCTTGATTTTTATTATAATCCTCTCGAAGATTCTTAGTACCCCCTGAAGATTTAAGTTCTGTCGGGGGCTGGGGACTATCTGCTTTGTTCCATTTATATTCCATTATAACTTTCCAGTTCTACCATAACTTTCTTGGAAAAAAATAATGAGGCTATTTCCCATTGCTTTGCTCATGTTTTCCGTCGAAAAGTTCTACCTAACTGTAGTGTTCTAATTTTAAGATGCTGGAACCTCTCCTTAATAATAATTATAAAAGAAACAAATGTCAAAATGACAAATTTAAACAGAAAAATTTTTTTAATTGGTTCTCTAACCATGGTAACTAACTAGGCGGTATCCTGGAGAAATTTTTGTATATTGATTATTACATTATGAAATGTTATTCTAAAAATTAATTAATTTGTAAGCATTAATCTGCATCGAAATAAATGATCTTTTAGATAAATCGTTTACTATTGTTTATCGTTTTCAGAAAACCAAAACTTGATTGCACAATGGGACAACCCCAACCAAGGAGCCCCCAACCAATGGAACAACGGCGGTATTCCACCAAACGCTCAACAAGCTCATGGTGTAGGTCAAATCCCAGCTGGAGTTGACGCTCACTCCTGCCCCAACTACCCATTCTGTTCTTAAGCGAGCTAGACAATCAGGCTGACAACATGTTGCCAATATTTATATAGTTTAATTTTGTTCTCGACTTAAAAAATAGCTGTGCCGATATTTGCTGTGTTTATAAGTGATAGTTCGAAAAACATATTTTTCTGGTCATAATGTTGCAACTGAGTAGATGTATAATGTAAAATATATAGCATAGTTGTAAATATAAGTAAAATGGTAATATTTGCCAATAATCAATAAATCACATGCATTTACACAAGAATCATTAATTTTACTATTAGTTTCTAATGAGTTGCATCGTTATGGATTCGTCGTCCAGAAATGTTATTGTTTTTAATTTAAATTGTTTAAAAATAAGTTATTTTTATAATTTACTGCGTTGAATATTCTCATGAAACGTAGAGATACCACAATAATTTTGTACTTCTTCAGAAAATATAGTACTTTTGATAACTGTCAAAAATATTAAAAGGTATAAATTTTTGAATAAAATTTATTCCCCAAAAGATTTATTTTGTATTAATGTCTTATCCCTCTCTCATATAAAGTATGTTAAAAGAAGCGGGACGGTCAAATATTTCGCGAAATTTATAATTTAATATTTTTTTAAAATCTATCAAATGACACCAAACACTATCCTCCACCACCTTCTAGGGATAGGGCCAGTAACAACTTTTAATTCTTAAATGAGAACCCTCATTTTTTATTGCAGATTTGCATTCCTTGTGAAACAATAAGTAACATTTATTTGAGACTTCTTCTTCTTCCTATGCCGTCCCCATTAACGGAGGTTGGCGACCACATTTTTAAAAGCTTCTCTGTCTTTTGCAACGTGGAATAATTCGTCTACAGTCATGTTTGTCCAGTCTCGAATATTTCGCAGCCATGACTTCCTCTTTCTACCTATTCCCTTTTTGCCATCGACTCTACCCTGCATGATGACCTGCAGAAGACTATATTTATTATTTCTTAGTATGTGTCCAAGGTATGCAGTCTTGCGTACTTTTATCGTTCTCAACAATTTTTTGACTCGACCCATTCTTCTCAGCACTTCCTCATTGGTGACCCTGGCAGTCCATGGGATTCTCAACATTCTCCGGTATATCCAAAGTTCAAAGGCTTCAATCTTTTTAACTATTTGCGCTTTTAGTGTCCATGTTTCTACCCCGTACAATAATTGCGACCAGACGTAACATTCAACAAACCTCAGTCTCAGCGCAATATTCAGATTTTTGTCACAGAACAATTGTTTGAATTTTAAGAACGCTGCCCTTGCCATTTCTATTCGTACCCGGATCTCTTGGTCTGGATCTAATTCTGTGTTGATGTAAGCTCCCAGATATTTATATTTTGTCACTCTCTCTATTTGCTGTCCACCAAGAGTTAGTTGTTCATTATTTATTGGACTCCTTGATACTATCATAAATTTGGTCTTATCTGTGTTGATGTCAAGTCCCATTTGAATGCATTCACTATTTATTGCATCTAGTAAAGTTTGTAGATCTTCTATACTCTCAGCCATAATTACCGTGTCATCTGCAAATCTCATGGTGTTTATGATTTCTCCACCAATTCTTATTCCCTCTTTTCTTTCCCATAAGGCTTTTCTGAATATGACCTGTGAGTACACGTTGAAAAGCGTCGGAGACAAGACGCATCCTTGCCTAACCCCTCTCGCAATCGGTATATTATTTGTTTCTATATCGTTCACCTTTACTACTGCTTTCTGGTTCCAGTATATAGCCTTAATAAACTCAATGTCTTTTTTGTCTAAATTGATGTTTTTTAATTCATCTATTAACTTCATATGCTGCACTCGGTCAAAGGCCTTCCTAAAGTCTATGAAGCATACATATGCACTCTTGTTATATTCCCGACATTTCTGCAAGAGTACCGTCAACGCAAATAATGCCTCTCTTGTACCCATGCCTCCTCTGAAGCCAAACTGAGTTTCATCTATCTGTTCCTCACATTTCTTATAAATTCGGTTTTGAACAATTTTCAAAAGAATCTTTAAAGGGTGGCACATTAGGCTTATCAATCTATAGTCATTACATGATTTGGGATTGTTGTTTTTTGGTAGAGGTAAAAATATCGATTTAAGCCATTCTTCCGGGATGTTGCCCTCTACATATATGTGGTTGAGAATTCGGGTGAGTCTCTTTATATTACCGTCATCTAAGGCTTTTAACAGTTCAACTGGAATTTGATCAGGACCCGTGCTTTTCCTTGTTTTGCATTCTGTAGGGCATTCTTTACTTCTGAGGGTAAAATTTGTAGGTATTGTTTTTCTTCACCTATATCTTGTTCATTTTTCTCTCTCGTCATGGAAAAGATGGATTATATATTGTTCCCATACTTCCTTTATTTTGCTCTCTTCAGTAAGTATTTCTCCATTATTATCTCTTGTTATGAGTGTTCTTCTTTGTCTGGTGTTGCCTGTAAGTTCTTTAATTTTTTTATGTAAGTTTGAGGTGTCATGTTTGTTGCTGAGTTCTTCCAATTCCTGGCATTCTTTGTTCATCCATTTCTCCTTAGCCTTTCTGATTTCATATTTGATTTTATTCTTGATGGTTTTATATTTATTTTCATCTTTATTTTTGTATTTTCTTTTTTCAGTTATTAGTTCAACTATTTCCGGTGTCATCCAGTCTTTTTTAGTTATTTTCTCTTCTTCGCCTAGGACCTTCCTTTTCCGCTTTTAGTATGGTTTTTTTCATATCTGCCCATTCAACGCTTCCTTCAGTTAATTTATTTATCTCTGCATTTAGTTGCTGTTGGCAGTTGTCATCTTTTAGGTTTTTGATGTTAATTTTGGTGGTTTTAAACTTTTTTTCTCCGGTTTCCTGAGTTTAATGTTGACGTTTGCTAGTAATAGATTATGATCCGTATCTGCATCTGCGCTTGGATAGGTTTTTGCACTTTGTACTCCATTACGAAACCTTTTGTTAATCGTTATAAAATCTATTTGGTTTCTGATTATATTGTTGGTGTTATCTTTTGGAGAAGTCAACGTGTATAATCTTCGTATGGGTAGGTCGTAGTATGTATTTGTTATGACTAATTCTTTCTCCTGGTAGTACTGGACTAGTATGTCTCCTCTTTCGTTTCTTTTACCTATTTGAGAGTATTTCTCGAATTGTTGATAGATAGCGCTATATTGAAAAAAAAAAGATTTATCATAATACCCTAAGACAGTATTTTTTAATCTGTAGTCCTACGACCCCTGGGGGTCCGCGAGCATGTGTTAGGATATCTGTGGTCTTATCTATGGGTTACGCTTGCTAGCGTGCGCGTGTCGAATCTTCCCCCTGGCACACCGCCCTTGCCACTACACCACACTTGCCCGAGACTTACACTTGGGCTGATTTATCATTCATGGGTTCTTAATTAAGCATATTCCCATTGTTCTATATTGCTTTATAGTGTAGATTTTATAGATATTACGTTGTTAATCTGATTGTGACAGTGAAACGCTGGATAAAGCCAAATGATTTCTATTCAGATGAAGCAAATGGAATACCATCGAATTGAAAGGTTAATAAACGTCGTACGTTTTGTGACGAATATTTTCGGTTTTACATCTAATAATTTAAATACGCGCTTGATCTTTAATGTTGATTTTTTTCTTACTGATATTAAATATTTGAACATAATAAGGTACTGAGAAGGGAAAAAAAGAGAATCGTAGAGAAAGCATTGCGAGGAAATAAAACAAATTGCGAAAATTTCAAGGCTCTATAAAGTTCTCTCCAAAGAACCCTCAGATAAGTATTCCCTCGCTATAAAACAAGTCAGGTAAATACACTAAGAATGGTGAAGAGATCGTGGAGAACCTTTTAGGGTACGTTTTCTAAATCTAAAACAAAACTGACACCACTAGATATATGTCAGTAGACTGAACTGAATAGAGACAGATTTATGGTTTTAAACGAAAATTGAAACCAGAACAAAATCAAATTTGACCTTTACAAAAAATATTTGTTATACTTGTTAATAAGGGTGGCTTGTTTACCCAAATCTGGTAAAACCGGAGAGGAAAACGTTAAGTCCTTGATGCAATAAGTCTGATGATGTCATTCGTACTAAAGACCCTAGAAAAACTACTCGATAGACATACTACAGATGGTGTATTATTTTAAAGTTCGATGCATCATTATAGTATGCGTATTGAGCAGGAGTACCTACAGAAATGGTACTTCACCATTTCGTACAGAGGGTACGAGGAGTACGTTCTGGAAAACCGATAGGTGATGGGTGCATTTCTCGATATTGACGAGATATTCGACAACACGTGCTACGAGCAATCACAAGGGTGACTTACATATATATTTACATATATATTTACTTTTATATATATTATACCTTTACAATAATCCCTTAATCTGTCCTTAAAATAACCTCGACTGTGAACCATACAGAGTTGACCAAGAGCCTGGAAACACCTACTTATCTCTTAAATGGATGGTACGAATTATAGAAAAACAGATATACTCATATTTTGCTATATGAAGATTTGCAATTTGATGATTTTTTGATGTCATTAGTCAATTTGGCTTTATAAACAAAACACTCTATATATTGAAATATCTACTTCAATACCAGTTCAACTGTATACAATAGTGTCGATTTTATGTAGTCAGGAACGTCTTAAAACGAGAAAACGAAAGCCTAAAAACGCTTAAATCGTCTCAACATTTTTTTTATTCAAACTTCTTCTTCTTTAAGTTCCATCTTCTATCGAAGGTTGGAAATCATCATGGCTATGCGGACTCTGTTGACTGCCGCTCTAAAAAGTTCTGCACTACTGCATTCAAACCATTCCCTTAAGTTCTTAAGCCAGGATATTCTTCGTCTTCCCACATTTCGCTTTCCTCGGATTTTGCCCTGCATAATAAGTTGTAATAATGCGTATTTTTGCCCTCTCATCACATGTCCCAAGTACTAAAGTTTTCGTCTTTTAATAGTTAATATTATTTCCGCCTCATTTCCTATCCTTCTAGTTACTTCCATGTTTGACATTCTTTGAATCCATGATATTTGTAGGATTCATCTGTAACACCAAAATTCAAAGGCGGCCAGCTTATTCATATGAACTTGTTTGAGTGTTCAAACTATGTGCAACTAAATATTTCCTTCCTACTCTCCCGAAGTAAAGGTTACATTCTTTGTCTATGGGTACGGGTGGACCCAGTGGAAGAAACTCATACCTGTTGTGAATTAAATTCCATTTTTTTTTATTAATTCGTAAAGCTTTTGTAGTTTCATGTTATCGATGTATCAAAACTAAAAACTTACTTTTTTGTAACAAAAAATATAATAAAACTTTATATACAATTAAAATTATATATTTATTCAATGTAACTTTTATAAAAGATATTTGAATAGTCAGGACAAATAAACCTCTTACATGCTTGACATCTTGTACGAGATTTTCTGTCTTTTTCCCATCCGCAGTCTCTACACCTTCCACGTTTTGGACTTTCATTTGCATTTTCACTT